AAGGGCCTTAAGGCAGAGAGGGATAGGAAGTTTCGAGATGCAATTTGATAAAGAGTCTAAGATGGAGTCTAAAATGGAGTCCCATATAGAGTTTAAGGCGGAGTCCGAGATGGAGTTTGAAGTGGAGTTCGAGATGGAGTTCAAGACTAGGTCCAAGACCAAGACTAAGATTGAGACCGAGACTGATCAAGACTAAAATTGAGATCAAGACTGAGACTGATATGTAAGCAACCAAAAGGAACAATTTGAAAGATGATCCATAGGGGTTCAAATATAAAGGGAAAGGGCCCATGAACAAGAGTGCACCCCTTTTTCCAATTGGTCAAGGGTGTTGGGATAGTTAGAGTTAAGCGTCATTGGGGTTGAATAGTACTAGGCTGGGTGACCTCCCGGGGAGTCCAAACTCAGGAGATTACATGATATTGAGTTTGAGTTTAAGTCCAAGTTCGAACACTAATACAAGTTATGGGGTGAAAGCCCAAAGTGATCGTCCCCTAAGGGGGCGGGGGTCCAAAAGTATAATAAGGAGAGTGTGGGGGTTGAACCCTAATAGAACTATTTTGGCTAGGAAAGATTAATGTGCCTAAGAAGGCTACACCCATGTGGTGGGTGATGATATAACCACTAAAGAGTTTAAGGCTAAAGTGAACACAAATTAATAAGTAAAGTAATTTGGTGAAATGTTCAAAAGTTGACTTTAACTCCTCTAAGAAATCGAATGGTTGATACTCCTACTTGGATACCTAGTGTGGTTTTAATCTAAAGAGTTTAAGGCTAAAGTGAACACTCCTACCTACTTGGATACCTAGTGTGGTTTTAATCTAAAGAGTTTAAGGCTAAAGTGAACACAAATTAATAAGTAAAGTAATTTGGTGAAATGTTCAAAAGTTGACTTTAACTCCTCTAAGAAATCAAATGGTCGATACTCCTACCTACTTGGATACCTAGTGTGGCTCATTAAAACCTCAGGAGCTTACATGATATTGAGTTTGAGTTTGAGTTCAAGTTCGAACACTAATACAAGTTATGGGGTGAAAGCCCAAAGCGATCGTCCCCTAAGGGGGCGGGGGTCCAAAAGTATAATAAGGAGAGTGTGGGGGTTGAACCCTAATAAAACTATTTTGGCTAGGAAAGATTAATGTGCCCAAGAAGGCTACACCCATGTAGTGGGTGATGATATAACCACTAAAGAGTTTAAGGCTAAAGTGAACACAAATTAATAAGTAAAGTAATTTGGTGAAATGTTTAAAAGTTGACTTTAGCTCCTCTAGGAAATCAAATGGTCGATACTCCTACCTACTTGGATACCTAGTGTGGCTCATTAAAACCTCACTTTAGCCATATGGCTAACATATCCAAAGGCAAAAGGTTGGGGGAGTACTCACAAAGGTTATATAGGGCAATAATGTTTTGAAATATCATCTCAAAGTACTAGATTGTGGAAAGGAAGAAAAGTAATCCTTTTAGGTAGTAACTAAGGATATAGTCATGTGGTGAAAAAGTCCCAAATGTTAGTGGGACTTAATAGTCAAGCCTTCAAATCTTAATTTAGTGGTAGTGTTGGTGAGCACAGAAAAGGACTTGATAGGGACCGAAGAAGAAATATTAGAGAAGAGTGTTCTTTATATCTCTAAACATTTTAAGAAAATAAGATGTGGTTATAGGATGACCACTTATGGATGGATGTCTTAGTCTTTAGGAGATAAGATTGTGGTACAAGTGGTCTTGGATGACTAATGAGATAAAAGTGAATGAATATGGCATTAGTGTAACAAGTTGATATATTAATGGTACTTTTAGGTGTGTATTGTGGGATTGGACATATGCAGCACTTAGGCTAAGTGCAAAGGAAAAGTGTTACCATTCATAGAGGTAACAAGTTTATAAATCAGGAATAATACTTATAGAGGTTATAAGTGACACTCCTCCAAGTGGTCAAAGGTGTGATTAAGTGATTAAAGTAGAATGGAAAAATTAGTCATTTATAACTTGGTATTGGAACTATTCTTTAATTTGACTTTAATTAACAATCAAATATATCACTATTTGATATTGACATTTAAAAGTTCCAGAAGTGAAGCTATACTAGAGGAGTTGCATGTCAGGAGGAGTGGCTCTCCACTTTAGTTTATGCATAAACTGGTAGCAATATGGTGGATAGAAAAGGGGCAATAAGGGAATGACTTTGGGATCTTAGGAACAATGGAAAGTTTTTCTTGAAGAGTTAAGAATATAATTCATATAAGCATTTAACTTAGTAAATTAACTAATATGGTTGTGGTAAACAATTATAGTTAGATCATAAGAAGGATAAAAACTCCAAGATAATAAAAGAGTCATAAAATTATCCTTATATAGTTAAAGATGGTGCACATGAATTTAAGAATAAAGTTAATAATTGTGGAAAGTCAAATACGAATGAGGACATATATCCTTGAAATGGTAGTTAGGCTACCTTTAATAAATGCCCGAACAACCCAAGGAGTTTGGGGGTATACTCAAAAGATGAGTCGGTGCTTTCATTATATAAAAGGATAATTCTATAACTTATGTGAAACAAAGAATAATTGTGTCAGAATAACACTTGTAAAAACAGCTTGTATGAATAAAACATAAATATAAGAAGTTGTATTTGAGTATGGTGGCATCTCAAAAATAGCCAATGAGACTAGGACCTTATAGATTGTTAGATTAATAAAGTCCAAAAGTTGAATGACTTAAAAGAGTTAAGGAACAATCTTAAAAGATTAGTGAAAACATATTTGGATAAAAATATGTGGTATCTAGTGAAGGATTGGGAAAATCATGAGATCCAAATATAAAAACAGTGGGTATCTCATTAATGGCAGAAAATGCTATACTAAAGTCATGGAAAAGTGTTTATGTAAAAAAATAACTTTAGCAAGGAGTTATGTGTGATCACTGTAGTGCAATACTAATTAATAGTTGGCATAAAAAATGACTATGGTGGTTTTCGCAAGATAGATACAAGTGGGAAATGTTGTGAAGGTAAGCTCATAAAGTTGATGGTGTAGAAACATCAAATGTCTCAAGAGATGATACCTTAAGATCAAATTATGAGAACCCTTTGCCAAAGGAATTCTAATGAAAATAGGGTTGGCATATCTTGGATATTGTTGGATTTGTATGTTTGTATCGAATATTGATGAAGGTGTGGAAGCATTAGCAATGAATTGAAGGACATAATAACTATGAGGCAAGTAAATAAAATTTAACATGCTCAATACATATTAAGCAATAAAACAATGCAAAAGTAGCATAAAAGCAAAGGGCCAAAAGGAAGCACAAGAGCAAAGCTATGTTGTGAGGGAGAGTAAGCAAGGCTGAGTTGAGAGGGAGAGATGGGAAAGGTTCCTACTAGTAGGAGCAAGGCCATAGCAAAGGAGATTGCTCAAGGTAAGCAAGCATAACTTGCATTTTCCAAAATTCAAGAGGATGAAAGTGAGATGGAGGAAGAAGCACAAGAGGGAAGTTGAAGAGAAGATGATTCATAGGAAGAAATCAACTTGCCCTCTTTAGTTTCAATCATTGAACTTGGTAAATTTTATGTGGGGATAATTGATGAAGTGGCACTAGTTAAGGAGTGGGGCCTTTGAAGAATGGAAAAGCAAGGTTTTCATTGATGTGTGAGTTATGATTTATAAGCATGGTAGTTGGACAAGTAAGTATCTAAATTTGCTAAAGCTAGCAACAATTGAGATAACACAGCTTTATGTGAGTGTGGGTGAAGATTAAGTTTCGAAATCAAACAAGGACAACTACAGTGGATGCGTTGATGAGGATTTCTATTGAGGGTCCACCTATAGACACTTTCAACTTTAACACTGTAATTTAAGCATGGAAAGATGGAATAATGCATAAACATATTTACACTAGTTGGTGTTTTAAACTTCCTTTTATATTCGTTAATTTAAGGATATTTTCATAACTAAATTCTCAAACAACTTGGGATTTTAAGGATTTTTTTTCTTGTACAGTAAAAGAGGTTTGTTATACAATGTATCTCCTCCAACACCCATGCTTCTTCAGGAGGGGCATTGCCATCAACGCAGAGGAGTTTGTGTGTCGAGATGTGGCAGATCCAATGCCCTGGAAGCAGGCAAGCGCTTGCACGCTCTGATCGCGCAGCTGCGATTACATGGCCAACATTGGCCCACCAGAATCGGTAATCTTCTTGTGGAGATGTATGGCAAATGTGGCAGTGCGCACAACGGGCGCACAGCATTGATGCCATTGCCGACAAGAACGTTTTCTCTTGGGGCTTCTTGATCGCCGCTTATGCTAGCAGGGATGAGAGATTTAAGGTTCTTGGGTTGGAGGGAGTAAAACCGGACAAGGTGGCGTTCCTTAGCCTGGTGAGGTCTTGCTTGCATGGCAACCTTGTTCGATTGCTCCTCGAGGAGTGTGGCCGTAGCAGGATTTGCAGATTGCCACAGAGCTTCTGAGGATGTATGGATCACTGCAGGAAGGCCGAATGGCTCGAACGTTTTTGGAGAGTCTTGGACAGAAAGATCTGGTGGCCTGGAATGCGATGATCGACGCTCATGGCCGGTGCGGGCAATGCAAAGAGGCATTTCCAATTTACGAGCAAGCGGACAAAGTCACCTACACGACGCTTCTTTCATGCTGTGACGATCTGGGCGATGGAGAAGAGATCCATGCTTGTGTAGTGAGGGATGGGATCGAATGGGACGTTGCCATGTCCACTGCATTGGTGCGCTGCTACGGTCGCTGCGGAAATCCAGAGAAAGCAGTGGCTGTGTTTGAGAATTTCTCAGGGAATAAGGACGTAGGGCTGTGGACTGCGATGATCCTCTGCTTCGATCAGAACCAAAAGATCACGGAAGCCATTCCGGGGGATGGAGCAGCATGGTTTTCGAGCAAGCAGCTTTACATTGGTTGCTCTTCTCCAGGGATTGTCGAGCTCTTCAAAGTCTGGGTTTAGCACAGGCATGATAAACACGATCAGCTCGAGAGCCATGGAGTTTCTGTGTTCTACTGGAGGAGATGTCTCAACCAGGGACGATCTAGTTGTTGCTACAGCACTGGTGAAATGCTTTGGAAGTCACAGGAGAATCAATGAAGCTGAGGAGGTGTTTGAGAGATTTCGACTCTGTAGATTCGACTTGGTGCTCTGGAACGCCATGGTATGGGCTTATGCCGACACCAGCCATCCCGAAGAAGTTCTGTTCGTGCTGAAAAAGATGGATCTGGAAGGTGGTAAGGCTGATACGTTCACGTTTGCGACGGATTTAACTGCGTGTGCTGCCAGTTGCGAGCATGCATTGCTATAAACGAGCTTTCTTCACGATCGAGCGACCAGTTTGGGGCTTGGATCTGGTAGCAGCAGTTATCAACTCGTACTCCAAGTCCCCCAGAGGCTCGGGCTTGCGAGGAGCGCTTTCGAAGGACTAGCGACGGACAAACGAGATACAGTTGTGTGGAGCTCCATGAACATGGGATACGCACGATCAGGCCACATCCAAGACGCTCTGGAGATCTTCTCGAAGATGGATCATCCGGACAAGATCACAATCGCGCAGGTGCTGGATGCCTACGCGGATCTGGCATGCCTCAGCCAGTGCAAGGCCGCTCATCGGGATTTCGTGTCGCCAAACCAAGAGCTCGAGTCGGAGACAATGGTGGCCAACGCTCTTGTACACATGTACGCGAAGTGTGGGAGCCTGGACGAGGCCAGGAGAGTTTTCGACAGAATGAGCTTGCAGTCCAGGTACATCGTCTTGTGGACTGCCATGATCTCGGCTTACGCCCAGCACGGCCGGAGCTCCGAGTCGATGGAGCTGTTCCAGACGATGCAGCAGCAAGGAGTGGAGCCGAATCAAGTGACTTTCATCAGTATCTTGAGCTCTTGCAGCCACTCGGGCTTGATCGATCAAGCAGCATACTGTTTCTACAGCATGGAGCAAGATCATAGCTTGGTGGCGTCCCAGATTGAATTGCTTTTGAAACTGAATTGAATCAAAGCCGCTTTCTAAGGAGCAAGTCTTATGGTTTATATTCATACCATAGGTGATTCATTTATTTCGTCGTTTATTTTTCCACCCAGTCAAGCACGAATGAAATCGTTTACCTGGACACTAATGGGGCTCTGTACATAATGGACGCCATCTGACCAAGTGATGGAGCCAAAAGCATAGTGTCCCACGGAACGAACTATTTTAGCAGCCTCAAACGTGATCTCATACGACAGTTTTGTCCCAGAGCTGTTGAAATGGAGAATGTCTGGTTTGACTGTAACTTTGACGCTATGCGGCTCTTCCACAATTGCCCTGTAACTTGAGTATGGTGTTCCTACGTTTGTCACAACTCTTTTCACTGTTTTGGCTCCCACCAGGTTGGAGATTGTTATCGAGGGATAGTTCAGCTCAGTGGCTGCTAGAGTCTGAGACGAGCATTTGGAGTGTTCAATCTTGCAAATGCTGCCCAGACTGCAGCAGAAGAGAGCATAGTCTTGAGGAGTGGTAACGTAAACAAGGCCTGGATCTGCTGCTTTGGTTGGATTGATGTGTCCTGCACCATATCCGAAGGGGTTGGAATAACTTAGTGTGAAACTATCAGTTATTATATCCCTTGTGTTGTCCATGTTCCAAGCTGCAAGCGTGATACTTCAGGACAGAACTTGCAAAACCCACAATACCTGTTGTCATAATTGCAGACTTGATTGCGGAGGGGCTCCAATCTGGATGCAAGGATTTAAGCAAAGCCGCGACACCGGAAACGTGAGGACAGGACATGGACGTGCCACTCATCGCTCCAAAACTCTTTGCTGAGCTGCTTGAATGGCTTTTTGGAGGAATAGCAGCGATTATGTCAACGCCAGGAGCAATGATATCAGGCTGCAATGCCGGTGATATATCAGATGTTTGAATTTGAAAACCAAAGGACTCACAAACCTTCAGAATATCAGGAGAAATTGGGTTTGGTCCCCTGGATGAGAAGGTTGCAACAGTAGGGGCTGGTCCAATCCCGGTCACAGTTTCAGGTGGATGGATATAGATCGTTGACGATCTGCAATTGGAGGTAGCCAAGTTCAAATGATGAAGATAAACAAGATCGATCTGGCTTACTTCTCATGTGATCTGTGACCTAAGAGCTGCACACCGCATGCACTGGGAACTACAAATATAGGGAGCGACAAGTTTCCTGTTATCGATATCAATCCGAATGTATCGGTGATTATAATTCCGGTGGCTCCAGCCTTTTCGATAGCATCTAGGTCCACGGGAAGCTCCGCGCTGGAAGCAAGGCAAAGGACATACTTCCCTCTCAGGGTGGTACCATTTAATCTCGCTTCTGTGCAATAGCTGCACAGAATTCACCTCATCAGAGAGACACTAGTGTCCGAATGTATGCATACCCATCCTCCCCAGAGGCAATTCCATGCAATCCAACTTCAGAACCGGTCCGGTGCTGTGATGGCGTTGCCTGTCCAAAAACTTCAAAAATGAAGGTTCATACAGCCATTTTGCAAACCTGGCAAGAGGTAGCATTGTCGGGAAGAACGATCTTTGCATAGAAACCCCGGTCAATAGTGCTTGCTCCCACACTCAGAATCCAGGGAGCAGTGTTCGTGATTGTGGACGGATATGGTCCCGAATTGCCACCACTTGCCACAACCAAAATCCCATTCTGGACTGCATGAAATGCGCCAATTGCAATGCCATCCGTGTTGTAGTCGTACGTATTGTCCACGCCTGCAGAAATGGAGAGGATGTCGACTCCGTCATGAATTGCGTAGTCGATTGCAGAAATAATGTCTGCTTCGAAGCTGCTACTCTCTTCATAGAGTTTGTACATTGCAAGCCTAGCCATTGGTGCTCCACCACGAGCTATTCCACTGCCAAATTCATCATCGCTGGCTCCATATACAAGCCTGCCTACAGCGGTCGACGATGTATGCGTGCCGTGAGAGTTTTTGTCCCTGGGTGATCTGTAGTCTTCCACGCTAGGATCCACACTTTGGTCGAAATATCGAGCTCCTATAAGTTTCCTGCATTCAACCGTTAAAACACATTAAACGACTATACTTCCAAGTCACTCGGAGGTCCCAACAACGAACCTATTACAGTTTGAAGCCGTGAAATTCTCGCCTATTTGACATATTCCCTTCCATCTTGTGGGAACTGGTGGCATTGATTTGTCATTGAAACTCTCAGCTTCAGGCCATACACCTGCAGAAAAGTTCCGAGATTTTGGTATCTGCTGCACACTAGAATCTGAAACTTAACAAACACCTGAATCCACAACCCCAACAATTACGTCCACTCCGAAGCCAGATTCTTGCAAAATGCCTTTGGGCTTCATGACATCCAATCCAAGGAAGTCCCAGCTGTGAGTTGTATGCAGCTTCATCTTTTTGCTGCGGAACACAGACACAACTCCAGGCATCTCTGTTACAGAAGTATTAGCCTGAAAACTGAGAGCACAGCCACTTACTGGACAAAGCTTTTGCATGCCCTGGATTCATATCTGCTGCGAAACCGCTGAATCCATGCCGGTAGCTGTACAAAATAGCACGTTTTGCCAAATCTTCACTTCCCAACACACTGGCCAGCGTGTCGTGATGGGATTTCGTTACCAGTTCGTGGTCTTCAACGGTTTTCTTCCCCATGTAGACTATATAAACCTACGATGGCACCAGTTACCGACCGCTGTAGACTCAATAAAATACTTACCTCTCCCATCAAGCACTGGATTTGAGCCAGAAGAATAAGAAAAGCGATTAGTCGTGCCATTCTTCAGGAGTGCAATGCAATGGAAAATCCCTAGCTGCTTTCCGAGCATACCCGGGGGTTGATATAGAGGCCACCCCAGTCAGCATTCTGACCAGATGTACTGTGTGGGCCTTCAGGCACTCGAATTTTCTTTAGTTGCGATGTTGATCCGGCTGGCCCATCCGACCACTAGTAGTGGAGCCGCAAACAGCCAATGGGGTTGTCTGTAGTGCTGCCACTTCCCCCACCAATTCATTGCAGCAGAACTTTGATTGCAGGATCGAACAGAAACAATGCACAGTACTCATTGCAGGTGAAAAACAAATTCGAGAAGCACATTAGGCTTCGTCCATTGATGATCCTGCATGTAAACACATTCTCTCTACAAAGAAAGTCGATGAACAAGCCGTTCCTGTTCAAAGCTGCGTAAGCTCCTAGTGCGGATAGGAGAATCTGTGTCAATGCAACCACCCTGGAGCCTTTACTTTTGAGATACTTGCGGTGATTACATCCAAATGTATGCAAGCCTGAAGTGGTGAATCTGCTGTCGATGAGGTGGTATGTGGCACTGGCTTTAAACTTAATGTGGTACTGGTATGCTGATGCGAGAGTGACGCCTAGAAATTCAACCAAACCCAAAACAAACAGACCTCTACAATTCAATTTGCAAGGTTCTAAAAAAGACAGCTCTAAGACAAATAATGCTGCTGCCAAGCAGGCCAGGATTTCAAGTTGTTAAAGTTGCATCTTCACATCAAATGCCCGTTTAACTATCACTTAGTCAGATATCGTCGTCGGGAGCACGCTGTCAAAATGCAGCCACATAGCTCTTTTGAGATTTTAGGTGAAGTATTAAAAAAAATTCAAAAAAACTATTACTTGCAGATGACGTTTAATCAAAGACCACGATGAAGTTGGCCACGCCCAGGGCCAGCGGCCCATTTGGAGGAGCACAATTAACTCGCGCCCGAATTTCACCTCTTTATACTGCTCCAGCATGTGGGCTCAATCCACCTGAAAACTAACCTGAAACAAAATGAAAGCAACAAACACGCGTTGACTGAAGAGGATTCTTTGTATCATGGAGATTTGTTTGACCAGTCACACATTTTAAGAGCGGCGTGTGACGGAGGAAAACGGGTTAGCGATAATATAGTTGGCTTTCACTCACGCTGCTCGAACTTTCTTCACAACCAAGTTGCTACTAAAACCGGGAGCACTCCTCTTCACTCCACAGCGCCTCCTCCTGTGAATCGTCTTCTTGATCTTACTGCTGCAATACTCCACGATCCAGGGATGATCCAGCACACCATCCAGCATCAACCTCTCGCTCGGCTCCACAGCCAGCATCCCGCAGATGAGATCCTCCACCTCGTCTGAGAGAGGACAACCATCCGGGAATTCCCCGGCTCGCAACAACTCGATCTCCCTGGATTGCTTGTAGCCTCTCAGCAACTCCCACATGTCGATGTCTGTAGTGTAAAAGCTCTGCAACCTTGAGTCACCATGACCACTCTTACAGCTCGTCATCTCCGGGGCCATATACTTCCCGGTTCCACAGTACTGCGACATCTCCTTGGGGTCGTCCGTGGCCACTCCAAAGTCTCCATCGTGCACGGCAAGAGCGTCCAGCTTGACGAAGATGTTCTTCGGCTTGAGATTCCGGTGGACGATGCCACTGGTATGTATCACCTTGAGCGCCTCCGCCAGAAGCTGGATGGTCTTGGCGGCCTCCTTCTCGCCCAGCGGCCCTCCCTTGATCAATCGATGCCACAGACTAGGGCCGCACAGCTCCATCATCATGGTCCCGTAGCAAGCCCCGCCGCTCCTCTCCCTCACGAAGCCCGCCAAGGAGACCACTCCATCCCGGCATAGCTCGTGGCACCCTTGAGCACGAAAACCTGGCCCTGGCGCCCCAGCCTCTGGCCCCTCGTGTAGATCTTGAGGAGCTCGGCACAATCGTCGTCCTCGAACTCACCGTCTTCGCGCACCATCGTCCTCTCGCGCAATGATATGAGTAGAAACCCTAGCTTCACATAACGACTATATGTCGACGGCTGGGATGGCGTTTTGCCGACGGCTGAGATGTGATCGGCGATCAACGGTGCCGATGTGCCTAACCGTGAATATTTTTCGTCACCTTCTTGGACAGGCAAGACAGCGTAGTTGTAAGTTGAGCTCACTTCCAAACTTTTCTATATAAGCCTCCACAATCTTTTGATCTCGCATTTGTCAAGAAGATTTGGAAGCACAGGACCCAGAACCGGAGGCTTGTCGAGCTGGGCAAGCTACAAAGTTTTCTTCCTCTACAAAGCTCTCATGTTCTTCGCAAGGATTCACCTTGCGAGCTTTGTTCCAGGATTAAAAATGCGGATAAACAACTTGCAATCAACCTGTGACAGGAAACTGGAGGAGCTCAAATTCCTTCTCAAGTTTCTCACACAAAGGCACGTTTTCAAGCCTTCACTCCTCGATCTAACACGTGCAAAGGGGATGATCCACTAGGAAGAACTTTGACGTGTTTGCCGGGGAGGTCGGGGAACTTGCAAAAAGTTGGTCCGGCGGCTGAACACGCAAAAAGCTCAGAATATAACTAGCCTCGGGAAAGAATCACCCAAGTCAAGCAAATGGCAATCCAGCCTCAACAGCTTGGCGGAAGAAAGGATTCTGTCCTCGTACTAGGCTTTTGAAAATTTCTAAGCAGGGGCATTGCGATCGACGGGCTCTTGTGTGGAGAAGTGGCAGATCCAGTGCCCTCGAAGCAGGCAAACTCCATGGCCGCAGGGTCTACAATCTTTTGGTGGAGCGCGCAAGAACGTCTTCTCTTGATCACGGCCTATGCTAGCAGAAAAGAGGGGTGGAGGGAGTGAGCGAAGCAAGGACACTTAAGGTGGCGTTCCTCAGGCTGGCGAGGTCTTGCTGCAGGGCAACCCTGTTCAGGCGCTCCTTGAGGAGTGTGGCCTGAGCAGAGATCTGCAGATTGCCACAGAGATTCTAAGGAATCGAAGCTCTGCTGGCTGGAGAAGTTTTTAAGAAACAGAAAAATCTGGTGACGACAGTGCGGGCAATCCAAAGATACACGAGCACCTACACGACGCTTTGCTGTGACGATCTGGGCGATGGAGAAGAGATCCACGCTTGTGTTGTGAGGGCTGGGATCGAATGGAACGTTGCCATGTCCACTTCATTGGGGCGCTTTCTGCTCAGTGGACTCGTGCACCTTAAAACTCCCAAGCTTTCAAATCTTAGCTACGGCATATGTTAGGATCCTATCCCTTACACCCTAAGCCAACTGGCTAAAGGGGTGATCACTTGATTGCAGGGCCCTTTCCTTATCCTATTATCCTAACCTGGTGCCTAATAATCCTCCCCCTCGTCAGGGAATGATCGTCCGTGATCATACTTAGGCCATCCTCCGGTCACCATGGTCCTTCTTTTAGGGTCTACCAAACCTTGGTTCTCCCTCTAGATCCACCATGTTAAATATTCCTTTAGAATATTCTTGCCCCACTCGTCAGCCACGAGAATCGAACTGGGCAAGAATATTCTAAAGGAATATTTAACATGGTGGATCTAGAGGGAGAACCAAGGTTTGGTAGACCTTAAAAGAAGGACCATGGTGACCGGAGGATGGCATAAGTATGATCACAGATGATCATTCCTTGACGAGGGGGAGGATTGTTAGGCACCAGGTCAGGATAATAGGATAAGGAAAGGGCCCTGCAATCAAGTGATCACCCCTTTAGCCAGTTGGCTTAGGGTGTAAAGGATAGGATCCTAACATTGGTATCGGAGCTATGGTTGGATGGCCTATGGTGGGCATGGACTGGCAGGTAGGGATGTGTGGTGTGTTCAGCTTAGGGGGGAGTGTTGGAACTAAGCTGAACATGCACACAACCAGGGCAGGTAGCTCAGTGGTAGAGCACCTGGCACTGGTGTAGGAGGTTTTGGGTTCAATCCCCGGCCTGTCCAGATCCATTTTCCAACATGGTATCGGAGTAACAATTTACCGGCGTCCATTTCGATTAAGTTATGCGGAGGAGCAAGAAGTTCAACGACAAGTCAAGGAGTTACTTGAGTTTGGATTCATTCAGCCAAGTAAGTCTCCATTTGGTGCTCTGGTCTTGCTTGTGAAGAAGAAGGACGGTTCAATGCGAATGTGTATTGACTACCGCGCTTTGAACAAGAAGACAGTGAAGGATAAGATGCCGATGCCACGTGTAGATGATATCCTAGACAAGCTTGGTGAAGCACGAGTGTTTACCAAGATTGATCTGAGGAGTGGATATCATCAGATTGCAATGGATGATGCATCTATCTCTAAGACGGCATTCAACACAAGCTTTGGACATTTTGAGTTTACAGTTATGCCGTTTGGTTTGACGAATGTACCGGCCACATTTACTCGATTGATGACGGAGGTCTTTGGGCATTATCTTCATGAGTTTGTGGAGATTTTCTTGGACGATATTCTTGTTTTTAGCAAAAATATGGAGGAGCATAGGGTGCATTTGCGCAAGGTTCTTTTGTTACTCCGAGACAGCAAACTTTATGCGAAGAAGAGCAAATGTGAATTTGCAAAGTCAAAGGTGGAATATCTAGGCCATATTGTGACATATAAGGGTGTCAAGACGGATCCAAGGAAGGTGGCTATGGTGGAAAACTGGCCTACACCGACTACAGTGGCTGAGTTGCGCAGTTTTCTTGGTATGGCTAGTTACTACCGATGTTTCCAGCATAAGTTTGCAGAGGTGGCTATTCCTTTGACGCGGTTGTTACGTAAGAATGTGCCATTCGAGTGGAAGACGCCACAAGAGGAGAGTTTTGTGGCGCTGAAACGATTGTTGAGCGAGGCTCCAGTGCTTCGCATTGCTGATCCATCGAAACCTTACGAGGTGACATGCGATGCGAGTGGTTATGCACTGGGAGGAGTTCTCATGCAAGAGGGACAGCCTATTGCATATGAGAGTCGAACTTTGAATTCTGCTGATATTCCACATATGAGCAAGAGTTACTCTCTATTGTTCATGCTTTGCGGACATGGCGACACTATCTTTATGGTGCAGTGTTCGTGGTGTTGACAGATCACAAACCACTTGTGTATCTTTTCACACAGAAGGAGTTGAACACTAGGCAAGCTCGTTGGATGGTCAAACTCATGGAGTTTGGGGAGTTTCCTATTGAGCATCGTCCGGGAAAATCAAATGTGGTGGCGGATGCTTTATCTCGTGTTCGTCATGTGACGACGTTACAAACACGATTTTGTCATCATTTGAGTAAGGTGGTCAGCGAGTTTGGGTAATTGGTTGAGCATGCTCAGGCTCAGGATGCTGAGGTGGCCTCTTTGCGAGACCAAATGGAAGCTCCTTTCTCATTGGTGGATGGGATTCTCTACTACAATGGCCGTGTCTATTTGCCACGGGTGGATGCGTTAATTACTCAAGTTTTATTCCACTATCATGATCGTCCAGAGGCCGGTCATTTTGGGGGGAAGAAGACGTATGAGTTGATTAAGCGCAACTTTTATTGGAGGAATATGAAGGCTGATATCCTCAAGTATTGTAAATCATGCGAGCTTTGGACTTTTGCAACCTTTACCTATTCCTCAGAGCCGTTGGTGTAGTATTTCTATGGACTTCATCACTTGTTTGCCACGAACACAGAGGCAAAAGGAGCAAGTATGGGTCATAGTGGATCGGTTGACGAAGTATGTGCGGTTGTTGGCTCTTCGGAAGACTGTCACTGCCTCAGACTTGGCTGCGGTTTACTTGGAGAAGGTTTTTCCTGATTTTGGTTTGCCAGAGGACATCATTAGTGATCGAGATTCAAAGTTCACTAGTGGATTTTGGAAAAGCTTTGCAAAAGCTATGCAAGTGACTTTGAAACTCTCGAGTGGAGATCATCCTCAGACGGATGGGCAAACTGAGCGTGTGAATCAGGTGGTGGAGGATATGCTACGTTGTAGCATTGGTCAAAGGTAAGGACAGTGGGATTTATATCTTCCGTTGGTGCAATTTGCTTACAATAATAGCCAACACAGTGGAACAAAGCTAAGTCCTTACTTTGCCATGTTTGGAAGGCATCCTCGAACAGCGGTGGAGTTGGGATTGCATTTGAGTAAGGACGTTCAAGATAAGCTTGATTCCGAGGCAACTGATCTGGCCACAGAACTTGATGAGATTTTGGTGGTGTGCAAACGGAATTTGCAAGCAGCTCAGGATAGAGCGGAGAAGTTTGCCAATGAGCATCGCCAATTCCGGGAATATAAGGTGGGTGATCTCGTCTTTGTGCGAGTGATCTTTCCGTCAAGTGAGCGGCGGAACACCTTGGTGCCTTTACGGACAGGGAAGAGTGATAAACTCTCCCATTGATATGCTGGTCCATATGAAGTGCTGGAGCGCATTGGTAAAGCGGCTTATCGGGTGCGGCTGCCAGCTGGGGTGAAAATTCATCCGGTATTTTATGTCAGCCAGTTGAAAGGTGTACTATCTCGGAGTGACGGGCCCAATGCCTCCTTGATGTATACGGCTGTGGAAGATGGACCAGGAGCTTGAGCCCCCAGAAAGGGTGATCACCAGTACAACTCATCCTTGGGACAAGGACTTTGTTGGGGGGGAAGAATTGTTAGGTGCCAGCTTTGACTACGTGGTCAACGTCGGTCAAAGGGAGGCTCAAGGGTATATTAAGGCATGTTAGGGTAAGGGACTTAACCTACCCTAGGGCTCACAGTGGAGCGGCAGCGCAGTGGAGCTTTTGAGGTAGCTCGGGGGTGGTTGGGTGGTGAGGAACCTCAAGAGGTGGCG